TTAGAAACAATAAGCTAGTAGGAACAAGTGCATCGCTACTAGTAACAGGTGCCTTACTAGTAGTAACAAGAAACTATTAGAAACAAGAAGCTACTAGGAACAAGCGCATCGCTTCTAGTAACAGGTGCCTTACTAGTAGTAACAAGAAGCTATTAGAAACAAGAAGCTACTAGGAACAAGTGCATCGCTTCTAGTAACAGGTGCCTTACTGGTAGAAACAAGAAGTTGGGAGAGGGGACTATGTCTTGTGGAGCCTCCGCTGCCCGCCGAAGCGGGGCAGAAAAAAGCAACTCCGCGAGACGCGGTCAGGCCGTGACCGGGCTTCTGAAGAATCCTTCCGCCGCGGGGAGCCAAGTGGGAGTTGAAAGGGTTAGTTTCAATTCTATTTGAATTCTTGCTACTACTAGTAAGGCCCTTGTTACTAGTAGCGATGCACTTGTTCCTAGTAGCTTATTGTTTCTAATTGAATTCTTGTTTTTCTAAATAGCTTCTTGTTCCTAGTAGTATGGCCAGGAGCCCCTAGCAGCTTCTTGCTACTAGTAGTAAGGCCAGGAGCCCCTAGTAGCGTCCTTTAACATGTTTCAAGAAAGAAAGAAAACATCGGGTTTAAAGGTCTAAAGAACAAGCAAACGACAAAGAAAGGGGGCAGGGTCGCAGGGCTAAGGGTTTCAGTCCAAGGCTTCTATCGAGCCTTTCTTGCGTTGAAAGACTGTTGCTGCACAGCAAGACATCGCCACACTGACAGGTTGCTGGTGCAGCCTCCTTGGTTGGTGGTCCCCTTGCAGGTGCTTTAGCTGGTGCTGCATCTTGGCAAGAGAGCTCGTGGGTCATGCGCAAGCCTGCGTACTGTGTACTGAATGCCTTCAAAAGGGTCAGACTTGCCAACTCCAAACTAGTAGCTTCTTGCTACAAGTAGTGTCCTTGCTCCTAGTAGTAATGCCCTTTGTTACTAGTAGCGATGCCCTTGTTCCTAGTAGCTTCTTGCTCCTAGTAGTAATGCCCGTAGCTACTAGTAACGTCCTTGCTCCGTTCGTAGCGATGCCCTTTGCTACTAGTAGCTTCCCATCTGAACGGATGGCTCTTGAGGCAGCTTCAGCGGCGGACCGCATGGGGAACTCCGGTACTAGTAGGTCTGGATTCTGGCCGATGCGCACATAGACGCACCGCGAGTAAAGAGTGCAGAACTGCCAGGCAAAATGAACCAAAGACAGAGAAGACACGAAGAAAAAGAAGCGCACTGTGCAATGTTCAAATCTTGAGCCCAAAAAGGCAGTGAAACAAGTTTTTTGGAAGTTGGAGATGAGAAACGGAAGCACTTCCATTGCGGAAGCCGCTGAGAAGTACTGAAGATCACCGGAGTCTTCCGAGGCCATCAGGATGAGGAACGAGTTGTGGCAAGTCGCCAGACAGGTCCCATCTTGCTGGGTCCCACAGGTGTTGGTTAAAAGCTGATGTGGTTCAGCTTGTTGATGTGGTTCTATCTCTCAGGTGGTCTCTCACGATCTCTTCCTGACAAGTGAGGTCTGCCTTGAGTAGGCTTCAGGATTACACCTGTTCTTTCGGAACTCGGAATAGTGGCCTTGGTCTTTGTGGCTGAGCTCCTTTCACTCCTTTCCAATGACAAAGCCGAACAGAAAGCAGGCCAAACGCAGGACTCTGAAAGCCCCTGACGTACGATCCAGTAGATGTTACCTCAATCCAGATCAACAGCAAGAACTGGGCCGCGCGCATTGCCTTCCCATGGATGGTGCGGATCAGCCGGCGTCTCACGAGTCAAGGCTGGCTCTCCAGAAACAAAGACCGACCTCAAAACCAAGCCAGCTTTGAAGGTGACACGAGATGATATTGTTGTTGGTAATGCCCTTTGTTACTAGTAGCGATGCCAGGAGCCCCTAGTAGCGTCCTTGCTCCTAGTAGCGGTGCCAGGAGCCCCTAGTAGCGTCTGTTAGACCTCTTTTGTCTTTAGACTTTCTTTCTTTTGCCATTGGACACGCCGAGAGAATGTCGCTCTGCCTCGTTTTCTGAGGGCTTCGCCGGCTTCGCCTCAAAACCAGGCAAGGGATCTCGGGAGCTTCTTCAGTGGAAACGGTCGAAAGATCCAAGAAGGATTGAAAACTGCTTGGTCAAAATGATAATGACGGAGTCATGCAAACAAACGATGGACGACATGTTCAAAGTTTGGTCTTCGGTGTGACAAAACGGCGGTTGCATTCTTTTCACGATTCTGTTTAAAAGGAAGACCTGGAGCAGCTTGTCGAACTCCAGGCGAGCCTCCGTTGAAAGCGGTTTGGACTTCACACGAATTCACATTGCCAGAAGCTTTTGCTGAGATACGTGTTCATTTCGAAAGAAACCTTGAGAAAAGCTTAACGGTTTGGTAGCAAATGAAGAAGCGCACTTTTGCAGAATGTGTCGAGGCGCTCTGCAAATCGCAGGCCTGGTGCATGGCATTTGCAAAACAGGTTGAAATGGAGAAGTTGGTGAATTATTTTTGGGAAAATGGCCAGAAAAAAAGGAACTTCTAGGAGTTGTTTTCTGTCCTCCACAGCAGCAGAAGCGCCTGATGATTTACCCACACGGAGCAGTCTGCGCAAATGTGCCGCACTCAGGCCGCCCGGATTGTGGAGCTCGAGAACCTTTGCACGCAACAGGAGGCACGGGATGCCAAGGTTTTGCGCGTGAGAAGCGGGAAGAGGTTCGGGAAGGAGCGAGTGGAAGACGTTGCACTTCCTTTTCTGCAAGCTTCATTCAAGAAATTAGATCGCTACGTTCGGAGGAAAGGGCATCGCTACTAGTAACAAAGGGGTGTGTTTGAGATGGAGAACTTGTGAGGCTCGTATTCGTGAACTGGAACAGGCCGAACGTGTGGCTCCAAGCGAGTGGGGAACGCATTTCGCATTTCTTAGGTTTAAGACCGGCAAGTTTCTGTCAATCAAATGCCTTTTCTCTTTCGTTGTTCTTTTGTTTTTCGTGTGTGTTTTATGTTATTTGTAGCTTTTTTCTCTGCCTTGAAATGTCAGGCTTGTGTGACTTCGGTTGAAATCCCTTCCGCACCGCTAAGCTTGCTAAGGCATTCGAAAGCTGACTGCACCGAATGGTGCAGAGATGGTAGGGAGATCCAGCAGAGCACAGTTGAACATCCGGACGAAGCAATGTCGAGCGAGTGGAAATTCAGGTGTTGTGAAGTCGAGATTCATTGTTCTTTCTTTTATGGGCCCTGCTACTAATTAGGTTGGAGGCCATTGCTATTCTTTCTTTGGCCCCGCTACTACTTAATTAAGTAGAGACTGCCTACCCAATGCCACGCGTCTTCAAAGAAGCTCCCCTTGCCCGAGGGCGAGGGGGCATGACTGTTCATGTGGTTCCTAGATTTTTTGGAAAAAGCTTCACTCTCAAGCCTCAACATGTTTACGGATTGCAGCTATTATTTGCTCCTACAACTGCAGGATAGGTATCTTCCTAAATTCTCGGACTTCACAGACTATCAATTTGACAAACTCAGGATGTGTTCGTCAATTGTTTCTTTCTTGTTCTCTTCTTGTCTTCTGGCCTTCTCTGTTCTGTTTCTCCTTTTTTCTTAAGATCCTTGTCTTGTTGTTCTCCCAAAAGACCCTAGGTCTTGCACTTCACCAAATATCAATCTATCTGTGTCTAAGAAATAGGACGTTACATGGTCTTAAAGTGTTAACGACAACAGTGACAAGCGCTTGAGCTGTGAGGTCAGCCAGTCCGGGAAGCCCAGCATTCCGGCCAGATAGGGGTTCAACCAGCGCTTTTCTTCAAGGAATCGTGCTTTTCCGATTCTTCGTTTCATATAGCTCATGAGTGGCTCAAGTGGAAGGAAAGATCCGGAACTCATGGGACAAAATATGACGCTGAGACTGCTTGGAAGGCGTTCCTTGTCAGTTCTGTTTTCTCAGGCTGTTGGTGAGCCCACGAACCAGCCTCGGGAGCACGACGACTGGTGCCCCTTTTGCCTGGAGACTAAAGTTGGAAACGCAAAGCGTCTGGTACAGATTTCTTGGCTTTTGGGGATTCTTGTGCAACCGAATAGCGATGGCCTCCAAGCTAGAAGCGATTCGATTCTTGTGCAGTGAGAGGAAATTGAGTAGATCAAAAGCCTGTTCTTTGACGAGTCTGTTTTGTCACGTTGCTGCCCAAGGCCAGTCCAAGGCAGTCAGGCTCGACTGTGGCAGCTTTGTTTCGGGGTCAGCGCACGAAGACCACAAGCCTCACAGCTCACAGAGGTCCTTCTGAAGCTTTCCAGCGTGCCAAGGACGGGTCAGGATGGTTCATGCTCCTAGCAGCTTCTTGTTACTAGTAGCGAGGCCAGGAGCCCCTAGTAGCATCCTTGCTCCTATTAGAAATGCCCTTTGCTCCTAGTAGCGTCAGGATGGCTCATCCATTTAGTCCTGAGTCACAAGGTGCATGACAGTGACAGCCCGATCATGTCGCATCAACCAGCCCGCAGAAGGTCCAATGCTAGTGACGATGTTTCACAATCATCAGCTAGCGCACCCGGCCACGCACAAGCCACCAATACATGGACCTGTGCACTGCAGGATCTTGCAGAATTGTGGGGGCAAAGGCCTGGCATCATAGTAACAAGAAGCTACTAGTAGCAAAGGGCATCGCCACTAGGAGCAAGAAGCTAGTAGTAGCTCCTGGCCTCACTACTAGGAACAAGAAGCTACTAGGAGGTTCTTTCAATAGAATGGACGACCGTTTGCCTCCTTACAGGCAAAACATGTGATGTTGGTCGGTGTTCTCGATCGCACTGATGGATGCTTAGGTTTGTTTGTTTAGCCGCTCACGTTTGGCTGGCTTTGCACACCTGAGTTTGCCTCCGTTGTTTGATGCAGGTGTTCCCCACAACTTGCAGGAGCGGACAACAGAGGTATCTTATTGTGGCATCCTTTTGCTTTTAGCGTTGGTATCTATCTCGGTAGACACAGGCGAAGTACAAAAGATCCAATTTTCTGTCAATCCTTGATTCGATACATTGACTTGTTTCAGGAGTACTTCCATCTCCAAGGCCATCTCCCAGGAGCTATTTGCGGAAGGAGGCCAGGTCTTCGAAAGGTATGATGAATTTCTCTTTGCTTCAGATCGATCTTTCGACCCACCTCTTCAGGTCAAAACTATCGTGCAAAGGCCCACTGGAATGCCAGCCACTGGTCAGCAACAATTCCTTTTTCCTGCGCCAAACCAGACCAGAGGCTTTGAGCAAGTTATAGAGAATCAAGAAGAGGTTTCATCACGTGCTGGCTGTGTCTTTTCTTTCCGACCTAGGAGATGTCCCGCAGCTTGTGCAACTCTCAGACACAGAAAGATGTCGGTTCTGTGGCACAGCGCCACTCTGAGGCTGCTGCCCAGCCCCTCTATATCTGAGTCAAGGCTCCAGATGACGAACCAAATTCAATCCACACGAAGAAAAGAGCTTCCACAATTCTCAGCTCCAAGTGATGAACACTCCAGGCCAATGATGTCACCGGCTCCTGTATATCCACTTGTTGCTTTGAAGCACTGCAAATGCCCAAAAGAATCACGGCGATTCACTGAATCATAGTCACACATCAATTTGACCTTCTTTGACGGTGAGAGAGACCTCGCAGCTGAGCAGAGGATGTTTTGTTTCGATTGGCTTCCATGAGTGGTCCGACATTGTATCGTATTGTTTGAGGCTGATTGCCTTTCAAACACTTCCCTATGCGACTGTTGCATGTGTTTCAACACGGAGGATGTATGGTGGAAGCTGCGGGTTGTCATGGGAATTTCATGTTTGGTCGGCAGTGCCTGACAGTCAAAGGAATGCAAGAAGCGAAATCCTGGTGCCCATCTGACCCGAAGTTGTGCGTCAGTTCCAGCAACGAGACCCGACGAGCCAATGTATTTGGTGGATTGTCCCACTCCACCATGCTTTTGAGCTAAGGTTTCATCCACACCAGGCGCACTCCCTTGTGCTTTCGTGGCTGATTTGTACAGCGGACTTTTGAACCAAATCGTGTTGAGAATGTCAGGTTCTTTGCTGGCTCCTGGTCGAGTCCAGGCCCTTAGTCGATTGAAGCATGCAAGAACATGCAAGAACTCTTCAATAGGCCTAAGTAAGGTCAAGGAGCAAAGAAGCACCACATAGTCTTTCTTTCGGTCCTTCTTTCTTCTTTCTTGTTCTTCGGAACGCCTGTTGCAGGCGGAAAAAGCGCCAGGGTCATGAGCTAAGACATCCCACCACTCGAGGGGAAGAAAGACAGCAAGTCCTAAGGACTGTGACGATCTTCCAAGCCTCGCCAAGGCAACGGTGAATACCATTTTGAAACAATGATCAAAAGTGTTGTCCATTTGTGTTTAGAAACAAACATGTCATCGAGCAGTTCGAACATGTGAGCATGTGATCTCCCCCATTAAGATCCAGGCTTGTGCCGACATCGCCTGTGACCATGAGCATCGGCCCCAGTGTTGGATGATGGAGAGATGCAGAAAGTCTAGAGCAGTGAAGATCTCTTCAACAAATTCCTTGGCAAGCGCTTCCCTTGTTCCAAACTCAGCAACTGAACAAGATTGACAAGACTTAATCTTTCACACTCAGACTTCCGAATCATCTCCGTATCAAGTTTATAGCCAGTTCCCTTTTGTCCAGAAACCAAGCAACTAGACATGAATGGAAAAGTTCCTGGTTTTGGCCAACGTTCCGTTCAATACTATGTTGGTGAGAGTACACCCGAAAGTGCCTCCTTTCGGTCAGGTCCACGGCCGGTTCAAACTTGGCCAGAGGCAGGAGAAAAGAGTTCAAACTTGCTTCAAAACGCTGTTCAAAACACCGAGGCCAAAGCGTTTCTTTGGAGCACCGTTTGAACCTCGCTCCGCTGCGTGGTTTTTCATTTGACTCTAGTGAGCACTGTTGAGGTCACGCCATGCTCAGAGCGAAAGCTGGAGATTGACAAGGCGAGTTTGCAGGAGCTGATTTCTCATTTTAGTAGGGGAAATGGTAGGCCGTAGTAGGGTTAAATAGCTACCGGTATGGTTGCAGGAGAGTTCGCGCTTCTTCAAGGAAGCTCCCACAGCCTCCTTGAAAAAGCGCTTCAACATCACTTTCCAGGACAATGCAAAGACAAGTCCATGCAGTGCTCCGCAACCACAAGAGCGCGCTAGATGCTCAGACAACTCACCTGCATCCTTTCTTGTGTTTGTGCATCTGACAATGGATTGAGGTTCGACCGATGAAAGCGCAGAACATGAGTGCAAAAAGTTATTTACACCCTGCGGGTTGTTCCGCCGGCCTTTTCAGCCAATGGTCCCAAGATGCGGATTACCTTTTGCGTCAAGAGGAAAGACTGCAACAGAGCAGAAAAAGTAACAGCATCATCCAGAACACAGCCGGAGCAACAGAGGAGCCTACATGAAATGACGTGCATTATGATACAATAAGAGAACAGGGAGATGAAATTGGAGGATGCAAAGTATAGCCTGCCAAGCAAGAAGACAAATTATATGACATGTGACACAATGAGCGAAGTAGACCGTGCGAAGCAGCAAACGTACATAGCATTCCGTCAGACATGATACAAGAGAGTAATGCGGACATGTGTGGCATGGTGATTTCCAAGCACTCTGAGTCTGCAAAAAATGATAGATACGTAAGTGCAGGTGCAAAACCTGAGAAAAACGCATGCAAAGCAGCATGGACAACGACAAGAGAAGAACGACGATAAGAAGGAAGCGCACACAACCTTTCACTTTAGCTATGATATATGTGAGCTACATACATTCAGAATGTTCTTGGGGGGGAGGGGGGGTCAAGTTAGACGAGGCAAAAACTTGCTCCGGAGACACTTTCCTTATTACATATAGATTCAACATAACTTAAGCTACATACAAGCCACATTGATAAAACACGCCGGCGCCGGCGGATTAAGGTTTTGTTGATTTTTCAGAAACCAGTGTGGTGAGCGTGTGCAGTTTCCAATCGTTTTTGCACATATCGTGCCATTTTGTGGCCATAATGCACAACAGGCAATCCTTTTGAAAGCAATGAGAACCCGATATTCAAGAAAGAAATTCAGAATCGTTTAATCAACAAAGGAAACAAAACACAAAACCAAAAAAGATCGGGTCTTCTCGCCAGCGCGCTTCCGCTGAGATGTAGTCAGCGTCCATCGTTATCTCTGGCTCATGGTGGTGTTGAATGATAATCATATACATTGGAGAGTCCACTTTCTCTGGACAACGAATCCCAGTAATTATTGGTTGTAGTTGTGGTCTTTTGCGTTTAGCGTCGTGTGGCCTGTTGGTTGCCATTCCTGAAGGGATTCACGATGCCCCGAACTGCGCACTACTATTGCTTCTACCACGGCAACACTACTACTACTACTACTACTACTACTACTAGCACTACTACTACTACCACTAGCATTACAAGTAGTTCCCGGGCAAGCCGGCGGCGGAAGTTTCCTATAAGAAGAAATTGACCTATAGGAGTGTCCACGTTCTCTCCAACATGCGCGTCCTCCAGTCAAACGCACGCGCTCCGGACTTTTGACCCACGGGATTCCACGTGTGTAAGGTGTGTGTGCCCCCTGCGAGAGATGACACACATCCGGCCACCACGACTTGCCAAGGATGCGGTCCACATCGACACACATCCCACCGTGGCATTCTTCAGTGGCGGCAAACCTTGCATATCACACATCGAACTGAATGGAATCCGAATTTGAATGTAAAATCTGTCTTGAACTCTGAGACTATGTGTGATGAGTCTTGTATAATGAGGGGTGTATGACAAGTGATGAATGATGAGTGGTGTATGTTGAGTGGTGTATGATGAGTGGTGTATGACGAGTGGTGTATGCTGACTGGTGTATGATGAGTGGTGTCTTGATCAGCAGTTGAATGTCCTGTCCTGCATAACTGCAACCAAATACTATCAGTATGAACTGAACGTGCAAGCCGCAAGAGATGACTCAGCAGCGAGAGATGACTCAGTCGCGAGAGATGACTCAGCCGCGAGAGATGGCTATAGCGAGAGCTGACTCAGCAGCGAGAGATGAATGAGCAGCGAGAGATGACTCCTCCACGTACTGTTCGCCAGTACAACTCTAGTTGTACTACGAAGTCGCCAGTCCTCAGCTTCTAGCTGCACAGATTGCTCCGCGTGCTGAAGTTGTACTACAAAGTCGCCAGTTCTCATCGTCCAGCTTGCCAGATACTCCGCGTGCTGAAGTTGTACTACAAAGTCGCCAGTTCTCAGCTTCCAGTTCTACAGATTGCTCCGCGTACTAAAGTTGTACTAGAAAGTCCCCAGTTCTCACCATCCAGCTCCACAGATACTCCGCGTACTAAAGTTGTACTACAAAGTCGCCAGTTCTCAGCTTCTAGCTGCACAGATTGCTCCACGTACTAAAGTTGTACTAGAAAGTCGCCAGTTCTCAGCTTCCAGCTCCACAGATACTCCGCGTACTAAAGTTGCACTAGAAAGTTGCCAGTTCTCAGCTTCCAGCTCACAAATTGCTCCGCGTACTAAAGTTGTACTAGAAAGTCGCCAGTTCTCAGCTTCCAACTCCACAGATACTCCAAGTACTAAAGTTGCACTACAAAGTCGCCAGTTCTCATCGTCCAGCTCGCCAGATACTCCGCGTACTAAAGTTGTACTACAAAGTCGCCAGTTCTCAGCTTCCAGCTCTACAGATTGCTCCACGTACTAAAGTTGTACTAGAAAGTCGCCAGTTCTCAGCTTCCAGTTCTACAGATTGCTCCGCGTACTAAAGTTGTACTAGAAAGTCGCCAGTTCTCACCATCCAGCTCCACAGATACTCCGCGTACTAAAGTTGTACTACAAAGTCGCCAGTTCTCAGCTTCTAGCTGCACAGATTGCTCCACGTACTAAAGTTGTACTAGAAAGTCGCCAGTTCTCAGCTTCCAGCTCCACAGATACTCCACGTACTAAAGTTGCACTACAAAGTCACCAGTTCTCATCGTCCAGCTCGCCAGATACTCCGCGTACTAAAGTTGTACTACAAAGTCGCCAGTTCTCAGCTTCCAGCTCCACAGACTGCTCCGCGCACTAAAGTTGTACTAGAAAGTTGCCAGTTCTCAGCTTCCAGCTCACAAATTGCTCCGCGTACTAAAGTTGTACTACAATGTCGCCAGTTCTCAGCTTCCAGCTCACAAATTGCTCCGCGTACTAAAGTTGTACTACAAAGTCGCCAGTTCTCAGCTTCCAGCTCCACAGATACTCCGCGTACTAAAGTTGTACTACAAAGTCGCCAGTTCTCATCGTCCAGCTCGCCAGATACTCCGCGTACTAAAGTTGTACTACAAAGTCGCCAGTTCTCAGCTTCCAGCTCCACAGATACTCCGCGTACTAAAGTTGTACTACAAAGTCGCCAGTTCTCATCGCCCAGCTCGCCAGATATCCGCGTATTAAAGTTGTACTACAAAGTCGCCAGTTCTCATCGCCCAGCTCGCCAGATACTCCGCGTACTAAAGTTGCACTACAAAGTCGCCAGTTCTCAGCTTCCAGCTCCCCAGATGCTATGCCTGCCACGAAATCTGCGCATGGACGTTGACAAAGTGCTGTGCCTGCCAGGACATCTGCACATGGAGGTTCACAAAGCGCTGTGCCTGCCAGGAAATCTGCACATGGAGGTTCACAAAGTACTGCACCTGCCACGAAATCTGCACATGGAGGTTCATAAACTGCTGCACCTGCCACGACATCTGCGCATGGAGGTTCACAAAGTGCTGCACCTGCCACGAAATCTGCACATGGAGGTTCACAAAGTGCTGCACCTGCCACGAAATCTGCACATGGAGGTGCACAAAGTGCTGGGCCTGCCACGAAATCTGCACGTGGAGGTTCACAAAGTGCTGCACCTGCCACGAAATCTGCACATGGAGGTACACAAAGCGCTGCACCTGCCACGAAATCTGCACATGGAGGTGCACAAAGTGCTGTGCCTGCTAGGAAATCTGCACATGGAGGTTCACAAAGTGCTGCACCTGCCACGACATCTTCACTTCAAGAAACAAGTGAAAACTCTAATCCCAATGGACGGACGATTCCGAGAATGACCCGAGACCGTCTCGCAATCGTCGTTCCGCAGACCTTGCCTTACCAGCATCGGAGCCACCGGTTCCATTGAAAAATACAGCATTTCGTGCCTTCGCTATCTCTCCACAACGCATTTTGTCTTGCGCCTGCTACGAAATCTGCACATGGAGGTGCACAAAGTGCTGTGCCTGCCACGAAATCTGCACATGGAGGTTCACAAAGTGCTGCACCTACCACGACATCTGCACATGGAGGTTCACAAAGTGCTGCACCTGCCACGAAATCTGCACATGGAGGTTCACAAAGTGCTGCGCCTACCACGACATCTGCGCATGGAGGTTCACAAAGTGCTGCGCCTGCCAGGTAATCTGCACATGGAGGTGCACAAAGCGCTGCACCTGCCACGAAATCTGCACATGGAGGTTCACAAAGTGCTGCACCTGCCACGACATCTTCACTTCAAGAAACAAGTGAAAACTCTAATCCCAATGGATGGACGATTCCGAGAATGACCCGAGACCGTCTCGCAACCGTCGTTCCGCAGACTTTGCCTTACCAGCTTCGGAGCCACCTGTTCCATTGAAAAATACAGCATTTCGTGCCTTCGCTATCTCTCCACAATGCATTTTGTCTTGCGCCTGCCACGAAATCTGCACATGGAGGTGCACAAAGTGCTGTGCCTGCCACGAAATCTGCACATGGAGGTTCACAAAGTGCTGCACCTACCACGACATCTGCACATGGAGGTTCACAAAGTGCTGCACCTGCCACGAAATCTGCACATGGAGGTTCACAAAGTGCTGCACCTGCCACGAAATCTGCACCTGGAGCTGGAGTTGCCTGGAGCTTGAGCTGTTGAAACCAGAGCTGGTGTATGAGCGGTGTATGATGACTGGTGTATGATGAGGAGTGTGTGACAAGTGATGTATGATGAGTAGTGTATGATGAGTGGTGTATGATCAGTGGTGTATGATGAGTGGTGTATGATGAGTGGTGTATGATGAGTGG